GTCGCCTTCTTCCTCTTAGCTCAATAGAAATTTATAAAAATTGCATTCTTTATAATAAAAAAAAATGATTATTGGATAGTTAAAATGTTCGTTATAAGAATAATTTCTCCTTCAATTCTAATCTTATCAGAGATATAGGCACACATATATAATAAGTAAAAACGTACAGAAGAAAAAATATTTTCTTTTCGGATTAAATTTTTATAAATTTCTTCCTGATTTCCAATTTGTTTTGTAAAACTTATTCTTATACAGCATACATACATACATAAAGGACTATTACATAGCACGTAATATAAATGAATTTCAATAAATATCCATTTTTTTCCCGTTGTGTTAACAATATTATGCTTGTTGCCGTTTTTAAAATAAAATATTTAAAACGCTTATTAAGAAAAAAAAAATAAGACAAGAACCAAAAAATTATGTTCAATGTACAATTCTTTTTTAATACGATTTATTTTTATTTCAGGACGGACACTAAAGAGCATCCTATGTACATATGCATCTTTACTCATTATTAAAAAATATGCTAAGTGACAAGTACTTCTCCTTTAGTTTTTATTATTATTACTGGTTATAATAACAAAATACTTGTATGTATAGTTAAATATGTATATTACTTGTATATATAAATAGGACACCGAAATTTCATTTTTAAGAGTGCCATTTTTCTTATTCGTAAGACCGGGTCTTTACATTTATACCTTTATTTCAATTGCAACAAGAGATATTAATAGACATAATAAGCATATATATATTTACTTAGGCATACATAGAATTATACTTATATGTACTTATAATATTTAGTTGATTATTATTTTAAAATTTCATACCTCTTGTTATACTATTAATAGACCCAGCCAAAAAAAAAAGAATACGTTAATGTAATCAAACAGAAAAAGGGAAAGGTCCTTTTTCGTTTTGAAAAATTTTATTTATTTTCTGCAAATTACTTTATAAATATTGACTATTTTAAATTTTTTATTATTTTATGTATTTATTTTGTGCATAAATATGTACGTAAATTATGCCCTTTATAATTTGTGTAATTCTATTTGGGTAGGAACATGACTATAAATGAGAATAGTGAGTTAGTGGGGAAAGTATAAAGTAAGTTAATTGGCCTCTAAAAGGCTTTTGATAATTTTAAAATAAAAGAAATGTGTCAAAGAAAACACATTAAAATTTCTGATGCTATAGTTACTTAAATGTCTAGGCATCCTCAATGAAGTTTTAATAAGGTCCTTTTACAGCATACTCAGTATCAAACGATATTTATATTTCTCGCAAGTAACATGCAGCATATACAATTCGACATACACATTGGCCTTTTCTAAACCCTTGCTGGATGTCCTCGTTCCGTAACATTTTAGGATTCAACTAAGCGAACTTGTTATATTTTTTGATGAAAAACCTAAAATTATACAAATTATTTGGGCAATTATTCAAACTAAATATATGTATGTACGTTGGAACCTCGCTATCTAATTAAAATTAAAATTATTCTCGTAGCATTTTCTTAAATTTTTTATACATACTTAAAACCCATTAAGAAAGACATCTAATTGTTTAAATTTACTGTTAGCAAGCGAAAAACGCACGTATTACTATTCTTCTTTTTTTTTTTAAACAATAAATTTAATTAACGGTACAAAACTTTATTTTTTATCAAAAACTTTTATGCAAACAAAATTTTTTTCGTAAGGTTAAAAATGTATTAATCGAAGGTAAAAATACAAAAAAAACAACAAAAACTAGAAATTGATTAAATCGCAATTCAATCGATAATAAAAATCCGAAATTATAAAAATCGTGGGTAGGTAGTTAAAATCTCTTAAAAAGTAATTAAATTTTAAAATTGATTTCAAAATAGGTAACATTTACTTACCCGCCATATTTCTTCAATTTCATACTATTACTTTCAGTGCTATGAAAAGCATAAAAAATTAACTTAAAACACACTTTCAAATATTTAAATGCCTTAATTAACGTCTCGATATTACTAAAATGATTAAAAGTACGCCATTTCATTTTTGCTTCATGTATGGTGGTATTTTATATTTTTATATATCTACGATATTATTTCACAATTTCTGGTTGTATCTTCGATAATTAAATCTGGTATTTTTAACTTAAAATTAGTGAAAATTACGAAAATTACAAAAGTTAATCAGAAAACACAATCCACACCAGAATATCAAAAAAAACTGTTAGGTATAAGTGTTGACATTTCTAAAAGAAAAGTTAATTTATTGTTGAAGTATTTGTCAAAATCGAAGAACAAAATGAATTTAATAATTAAGCGAGTTTACAATGCACATTTCATTAAAGCAATTAGAATAACAACCATAGAAATTTAATTCCAACATCTACAATTTGAGAATCTCAGCTATCTAAAAACCGAGCACTTGTCAAATTATTAATTGAAGTGAAGCGATTGTCTCCCTTTATATTAATATATGTATGTACATAAGTATTAACAGGCACATTTACCCTTGAAATACTCTTTCTCTTATATCACTTTGCAATATTCTAGTGCGACCTAAACTAAAAACTAAATTGTCAATTTTGGTAGCAAAATCTTGCTAAATTTAATAATTTTTAGATATAAATTATAATCAACTACTTGAGCGAGTTCGAAATTTAATATGAACCAAATATTTTGCGATTACATAATGACAATACTCTTTCTATCAAATTGCCAAAAGAAAATAATCTGATTCTGAATCGAAATCTGAACATACACATAATTTATTTTTGACAGTTATATTGATTATATAATTGAATTCGAATTCAAAGTGTTAAGTCAAGTCAAATTAAATATTTAAAATTTGTTATAAATGCTAAAAAGGTATGAATAATTTTATATGAAGCAATATAGTGGCAAAAAAAAAGCAAAAAAAATTTACCACAAATCACTTATATCTGCGCTCTCTACTTAATTATAACGTATTAGCTTTACCGTACAAAATAGTGCGATATGTATTTGCGTCACAGGTCAATGATTTATTTTGATATTTTATTGTGCTGCTTTTGTTTCGAATTTTCGTATTAATTGTTACTAACTTAACGCTCATCTGCATAAAAAAACATCAAGTTTAAATCTCTTTCGACTTTTATTTATTTTTGATAAATTTTTTTTTTTTGCTTTTTTATCAAATTTTTTACTCTTAAACGGCTGTCTTAATCTTTTCTTATTTTTTTTATTTATAAATATGTATGTTTATACGTATAAATATATTTGCAAATGAAATCTTCAAAATAAAGTTACGACTTGTACATATATACGACTATGTATGTTTTTTTGTGTAGGTCTATGTATTAAATTTAACTTTTGTAAAAAAAACTTCAAAAAAAATCTCTGTTTTAAACGCTACATACATCTTCATCGCACCTAATGTTATGAGAAATTTAATGACCGAACGCCATCTATGTATATATATTCGACGAATATTTTTTTTTCAATATTTTATCGCATTTTTTTGACATTTAAATGGCGATGATGATTGTTTAATATTGAAAGTATATTATTTCGTTAGTTTTTGTAATTTTTTTTTGCATTAAAACTACTTAAAATATAAATTTAATGCAAAATCTACATATACTCTTAATTATAATTTGGAAAGTTTCTCATATTTCTTTTGTTTGACCGATGATTATGGGTAATTCCGAAATTTTTCAATGTTTAATGTTTGGATAACGCATTATTTTTTTTCTTTCAAAACGTACATATAATAGTATTTAAAATTTCTCAATAAAAAATTAAAAAATTTGAATTAATTGACATTCAATAAAATTAATTGTTTGGAAATTTGAATTTTTTACTTTTCTCTTAAATGGAATACTATGATGTAAGCTGCTATGTGTATATAACAAAAGAAGCCCCATTAAAATACATTTAAGAAAAAACGAGTTCATTTTAAATTGTTAGTTTTTTTTGAGATATGGAAAACGTTAAAAAGTTTTAATTTTAAATATTTTTGTTTTCGATTTAATGGAAGAAATTTTTCTAAATTATGATTTTCACATTTTTGGTACACGAGGTCGGGTAACGTAAGGCAAGTTTATTCAATTCAAAAGTCTTATTAACGTTATAAATGTTATTCCTAAGAAAATTTGACAGATTAATTTTTATTGATATTTATACAGATTATATTTTTAAAACTCATATGATTTAACAATTTACTTTTTTAGTATAAGAAATAGAAATGAAAATAATCAATTGAGATTACTAGAAAATATTTCCTAAAATATAATTTTAATTAACTCATCACGAAAATATAAAGTACTTTTTATTATACATTGCAAAATTTTTTAGACGGAATATATTAAAATTGAAAGTCAGTTGTTATTTTTATATATTAGAAAATGATTTTTATATTGCAATGTATATTTGACATGCCTACTAACCTGTTTATTACTTGTTTGGTTGTTGGAACGTTGAATTCTTGTTGATATTTATGCCAAAGCTCACAAGCTACAGTACACTATAGAACACGACTGACAGCTACAGTATTTTGTCGGCTGACAGAAATAGAATTTTTATCAGCCGATGTATAAACGCAACAATATTTGACGCAGTATTAAATATGTTTCCAGTTTCGGTGCTACCGTTCAGGTTGAAATAGTGCAAGTCATTTAATTATAAATTACTTGAACGAAATTTAGTTCCTATTTTAAAAATTCTTATTTTAACATAAATTTCGAAATTTTATTAGTTTTGCAAAAAAAATATGAGTGCAAAGCCGTAGGAAATACAAATTTTATTTTTCAAGCGCGTATATACAATACTTCACCAATTATAATCACAATCAAAGGGATTAATTATGAAAGCAAATCTTTAAACCAAGTGTTTTTATTAATTGCATTTTTAAACTGATGCCATTATTTGGAACTCAAGAAACTTGTCATAACTGTAACTATTTATAAGAAAATTTGAATTATGTACTTAAACTTAATTTAATTAATGCTTTACTAATATTTTATTTTTTTTTCAGCATCCATCATTAATGTAAGTACCTACCAAATTTTAGTAATACATGAAAAATTTGATATACAATGCAAGACGTACATACTTTATTTGCTACATTCACATTAATTAAAATAATATTTTTTTATTCCGAATTCATTTTGATAAATTCTTAATGGCTTTCTTAATTTGTAGGAACCATAATCTATCTTGTGAAAACATCCATATGTATTTATTGTATGTATTATACATATATTCAAAGATGTACATTTGTATATAGGTACGAGAGATTCATTTCTATTGTATTTTTGTAATATTGTGTAGGTAATATGAAACTTAAATTATAATTTTAATTTTTATGGTCAATCATTTGTTCAGCTGTTGTTCAATATTTTATAATGTATAATTGTTAGATTGCGCACCATACTGTGAATAATTCTTATTTTACAATACGTGATATTTATATCTTCTAAATTTAAGTACCTTCGTATGTACATATTTTGGTATTAGCTTGAATTTTTTTTTGTAAAATTTATCTTTTCCTATATTATTTTTTTTATATGTGCGAACATTCATAAGTACATATATTTTTATAGTCCTTTATTTTAAAATAAGCGTATGTTTAAATAAAGGAAAAAATTGGATTGTTGCACATGTTCGACAGGATATTTGTCATATACATAGGTACCCAAATAGATTTTTAATAGTATAAGAAAATAAAATATGAAAAAGGATATATGCGCAATGAAATTTTCAAAATTTTTAAGGTGTTTACATGAGTTTTTTTTTAATGTTATTTAATTTTCATTTTATAACACGGTATCTACCAACAAATTCATATGTAGATACATGAAATAATGACCTATTCAAATAAAAGAAAAATAAATTATTTTTTCAAATGTTCAAGTAAAATATTTACCTATAGTTTTTAAAAAGTACTTAAATATTAGAAGAAATTTAAAAATATTTTAGGTCACATTTCTTCACAAAATTCAGGTATCTATCATTTATACCTTAACTGTTATATGTACAAGAGAGCAACGCATTAGATAGGATTTTTCATTTCTAATATTTAAGTAAAATAATATTTGATTTTAATAGTAATAAAAATTTAATAATAATGTTTGTGTATTAGGAAAACAATAACATTTTATTATACAATAGAATTTGAAAATATATTTGCATTTTATGTTTTAGAATAACTTTATAAATACCTTTAAATCCGGGAAGTCCCTGTTTAATATTTGCATTAATATAAATACCTACATTAAAATAAATTAAAACCTGTTTTGTATACTTTTCAAAACTTATACAAACATTAAAAATAAAATAAAAAATCGGAAAAAGGAAACCATTCTAAATAATCACTTAAAAGAAATTTAATTAATTTAAATTTGAAAAAAAAAAAACTAAAATTTCACAAAATGAATATGTCAGAACGTGTTAATTTTAAAAATCAAAATAATTTTTATTTTTAATGCTCAAAAAAACATAAAATAAAACTGAATTTGTAAATACCAAAAAAAAAAAATCAAACCTTCTTTTACAACCTTCACCTGTTCTTCACCGCTTTAAATAAAACAAAGGCACCTAGGTACTTACATACATATGTATGTATATACAAAATTTGATTTTTATACCTGTCTGTATACTTCAATTATTGTACAAATAAATCTCCTCATATAAATATAAGTACAAACATTAAATATACAAAATTTTACCCATGAAATATGCACGGAAAATAAAACACAAATTAAAAATAAAAATATTAAAGAAAAAAAGAATTTCAAGAATGAAATAAAAATTACCAAATTAAACTCTTTACAAAAAAAAAAAAGAACAAAGATCTCAAAAAAAAATCAAAATTTAAAGTTGAATTGAACAACAAAGGAGTAAAAGATGAACTATATATTTTTCACATACTTGTACACATTACATACTTACACACAAACGAAAAAAATTCATAAAAATATATGAGTGAGTACGTTAACAAAAAAAAAAAAAATTATTATAAATAATGCAGCAGCAAGAACAGCACACACCATAAACAATAACAATAAAAATAACATAACCCTTTTCATAACAAGTTAAATGAAAATCAATCAACATTTTAACTTTGTATACTTATACCTCTACTTTAATAATTACGACTCAAATATATACATGTACATATGTGAATATATTAAATATCCATGTCAGTAACAGACGAACTCAAGCAAGCAAGCAAGCAAGCAAGCAGCAAGCGAATAAAGTAATAACAAAAGTAACAATCGTTGTTACCAAAAAGACATTCAATTTATACGTTATGTATGTACAAATATATATGAATTTCATGAAAGCCATAATTAAAATACAAAAAAAAAAGAAAACAGCAAAAAAATAATATTAACAGTAGAATAAACGCAAATATACAGTGCTATTACAATGACAATAATAACAATAATGATGACAATAAGAACATAATAATAACAACATATTACTTACTACGAGTACCATAATATAACAATGTAATACACAAACTCACGCACAAACTTAAATACCAATTTAATAAAAAAAAAATCATAAATAATGTTATACAAATTATTATAAGACTTCGAAAAAGAAGAATATTAAAACAAAGTATATGTTCCCCTTTTTGTTAAGTACTATTCTATATTATTGAACTTATATAAGTGAATGTTATACCATTAACCAACAAAATTCTTATATTACTATACAAAATTCTATATATTACACTTACCTACATTATATCAATTTTACATGCTTAAATTGTGTGTACGGATGTATGAATTCTGTCTGCCTTTATTATATTCTCATATCATAATTGTTGACATATGTTTGTATGTTCAGTGATTATACATACAACTTTTTACTTATATGAAAATAAACAGTTACCACGCTATAAACAATTACAATTATAATAATAATAATAAAGCATTTAACTACATTTTATTAAAACAATAATAATGTTAAGCGATTTCTTATGTCCATTATCCATCATGAGTGTATAACGCGCAAGAAAGACAAGGTAAAAATTAAAAAAGAAAAATAAATAATCATATAGTAAAAAAAAAACAAAAAAAAATTTTTTATACTTCACAGACAATAACGTTGAAATTTTTGTACGGGAGCGTAACTTTATTTTTTAGTATTTTTTTGTTATCCTTAAAACCAAAAAAAAAAGAGAAACTGGGAAGGTGTCAATGAAAATTTTTGATTTTTTAGATTATTTTAATTTAACTGACAACACATACAACAATGTCTAGATATTCGATTTATGTTTTGTATAAAATAACGAGCATAATAATTTGAAATTATATTCTCTTAGAGAATTTCGAAATATGACGTTGATTTTATGATATTGTGCAGCAAAATACTAATGTATAAAATTTTTTAGATATTTTAAAAATTTGGAAAATTTATCAAAATTTTGCATAAAACGAAAGAGGAGAAAACACATCCAGGCATTATTTGAAATCAAAAGTTGGTTAGAATGTGTCTAAATCGGAATTAAGAGTTTGGAGTAATTAAGATTGAAGATTTTAAGTATATGCTTTTACAGTATGTAAATTTTTGAAGAGTATTTTACTTACTTTAATTATAATACTTTAAAGTTGTCCGAATGGATCTAAATTTGAATACGTGAAATAAAAATTTATAGTACCTACCTTAATTTTATACCACTTTTAAGCATCTTTCCCAATTGTAACTGAAATACATATATTTTAAAACAGTATTCATAGCTTGCTTTATTATTGGCATAACATTGAATGGTATCCGAACTCAATATTTCGAATTTTCCAATTCTTTCTTATTACTAATTATATTATACAAAATGATAATAATTCGACCGTATAAAGAACCCGACGGAAGAAGGATATTATATCAATCCTTCTTGCAAGAAATTACAATAAATTCTTTAAAGAAAAAATGAAAAAAAAAATGTAACTATTACAGAATTCATCTTCTTCTCTTTTTCAATTTGAATTATTTACCTTTTCCACTATATAAAATATAGGTGTATACACACCACCGGACTCAATTAATCATGAATCATTTATAACGTATTTAAAAAAAAAAATAAATGGAACATACATTTACATATATCATAAAAAATTATATATTTACACACGTACCAATTTTAATCAATATATATACAATTTATATAGATATATTTCCACTTAATATAACCATATGATATAAGAACAATATACATACATGGGCACGTAATACTAAAAATAAAAACAATCTCCCTTTCCAATATTATTTATCATTATTGTCTGTTCTGATAGTCCGTTATTGTTCAATAAACGCCACATTGCAGCGCGTACACGGAATCGCGATCTTATTTATTAAATACAACATATTATGAATACTTTACTTTATACGAATAAGTATGTACTTGCTACGTATATTAACCATGTAGATTATTAACTAGACATGCATAATAAGTACTTGGTATACATTTATTTTCATATTATATTTTAATGTATATACATACATACATGTATAGATACATCCCGCGAAATGTATTTTTAGAAGGAGAGAAAAAGAAACAGAGCTATTAAAAATGTTTTTTTTTTTTTGTTTTTTGAATACTGAAGTGATTTTGACTCACGACAATGATCAAATCAAAGATTTTTTTAACAACAAAATAAAAATAATATGGAAAAAATATCAAAAAAGAAAAAAAATTAAGTAAAAAATGTGGTACAATAAAAGAAGAAGAACAAAAAACAAAGAAACAATAATGAAAGAAAATTAAAATTAATTTACACTAGACATACAATAATCAGCAGGACAGTGAGTGACTGAATGTTTCCTCCAATTTTTTTAACCAATCCTCAATATATATAGGCAATCTTGTTGGCCGTATGGTTGTTCTTGAGTACATACATATGTATAATAACAATATAAAAGTATGTGGCATTTGAAGCTATATTTAAAATATCAAATATAAATAGTAGATGTGTAAGTAGGTATTTTACATACATATATGAGATATTTATAATTGTAATTGTGTGCTATTTAAAGGGTACATC